TCAGGAAGTGTTTGTGGGCTTCTCTGGGTCGTCCAGGGTGATTTTATGGTATGCTTCCGACATAAATATAATCCAGATATAGGGCTGGCTATTATTCACAGTTTCAGGTATTTGCAGAAGTCTTGGAATGTATCCACTGTGGATACATTCATACTGTACAGTATATCTTCAAAGCCTATTCCTGACCCATGTATTGAAATATAATTAGAGCTCTGCAAGATCAGAGGCCTGTCTAGACCACCAGTCTGGCCCTATGCTGATCAACCATCTGGCAAGGTCACAATCAGGACATGAGCAAAACAGTTATGGAGTTGAACCTGCTATTCACTTTACCCCACAACTGATGTACCACCAGGCACCCTGCCTTCAGTTGTGTGTATGTGTGTGTAGTCATCCATCCTCACTAATATTCATTGATTAGGAATGTCAATCATTACTTATTTAAAACGTTTGCTCCTTCTTGTGTAAGAACTCTAGGTTTAAATTCAACTTTAAATTCAATTAAATTCATCTTTCAACCTCTTTTTCACATTTCAGGAATTTGTATGGAAATTATTTTTGCACAGAATGCACCATATTTTAGATTTTAAAAAGCACAATATTGCATTATTTTCAAAAATTAAATATGCATTCTCCCACATTGAGGAAACACCATTTGCAAATAAGCTTCACATCTTTAAATGGGAAGAGGAAAAAATGAGGCATCCCCTTGTAAACTAATTGGGTTTTATTTTTGTATGAGGTTTCATTGGCATAAACCCATTTCTTTGGGCCCCTTCTGCAGAGCTGTATAAAATCCAGATTATCTGCTTTGAAGTGGATTATCTGGCAGTGTAGACTAAGATAATCCAGTTCAAAGCAGATAAAGTAGATTATCTGCCTTGATATTCTGGATTACATGGCAGTGTAGAAAGGTCCTTGCATGCAGTACTGTATTAAGGTCTAAATCTGGATCTACACTGCCATAAAATCCAAATTATCAAATCAGATAATCCGGATTATCTGTTTTAGATTGGATTATATGAATCCAGTTCAAAGCAGATAATATGAATTTTTATGACAGTGTAGATGGGACCTTAAGTATAAAGCATATTTGTACTGTTGCAGGAGTGTGAGAGAACATAACAGAGCCCAAAAAGATACAAAATATGGTCTTTTTTCTAACCCCCGTCCTTTCTCCTTTTTATGCTGCAAGAGACTAACACAGTTAATTCTTTGAAAACTTCACAACTTTATCACGGATACTAAATCTGATCAATGTCTCTGTTCCCCTTTAAAACCACACAAACTGGCAACCATCACTACATCTTATGGTAATGAATTTCACAGTTTACCTCTGTAGTTGTATTAGGTACCTCTTTTTATCTGTCCTGGGGCCCTTCCAGACAGCCCTATATCCTAGAATATCAAGGCAGAAAATCCCACAATATCTGCTTTGAACTGGGTTATCTGAGTCTACACTCAGACAATGTGGGATTTCCTGCTGTGTGAAAGGGCCCTTGAACATCCCGCCATTCAAATGCAGGTTCTATTATTATGAAAATTGGGGAACCTCTACCTACCTAGATGTTTCTTTAAACCATTTATACTTTACTGCATCCCTCTTTGTTAAAGCGTTGTTGTTGTTGTTTATTTGTTCAGTCACTTCCGACTCTTCGTGACCTCATGGACCAGCCCTTCTGGCTGTTGCCACCCCCAGCTCCTTCAGAGTCAAGCCAGTCACTTCAAGGATACCATCCATCCATCTTGCCCTTCGTCGGCCCCTCTTCCTTTTTCCTTCCATTTCCCCCAGCATCATTATCTTCTCCAAGCTTTCCTGTCTTCTCATTATGTGAGTTCTTCATCTTTGCCTCTAATATCCTTCCCTCCAGTGAGCAGTGGGGCTTTATTTCCTGAAGTATGGACTGGTTGTTTTTTTAAAGCTAATGAACTCCAAGCGTTGAATTTCAATTTTCCTTACTGGGGACCTCCAGCTACTTGATAATTCTAGTTGTCCTATTTGGCACATTATTTTTGAGGTGTGGTTTCTGGAACTGTACACAGTATTTCAAGTGTGGTTGAATCATCAATTTGTAGCATGTGGTAGTTTTATTTGCAGTTAAGAATAAGACCAATATGACATTTACAGGTTTCAAAGCAGCTATCATTGGGTTAACATTTTCATCCAATAGGGCACAATAACCTTCAAATCTGTCATGAGTCCCCATGGGGAGAAAAGGCGGAATATAAATAAAGTTTTATTATTATGTATTATTAACCTTAACATCTTTTTCTCCCTCAGTCCACACCTGCTCAGATTGCTGTAAATGTGCAGTTGGGATTTTGTGCTACAGCATGCATCACATTATGCAATGAGCTGAATTTGCATTTACATGGGACTTCATTCCCCCTTTTATACCCATATCCCCCACCTTGGAAATTTTGAGCAGATATGTCTTACCTGGAGGAAATTGAACTGTGAAGTTGTTTTGTTTCAAGTGGCCTGTGGGTGTCTGCTGACCCCATTAATTTCATAGGGTTTCTTAGGCAAGTACTACTCAGTGGTGATTTGTCAGTTCTTTTCTCTGAAATACAGCTTACCTTGATGGTATTCACTGATGATCTTTCATCCAGGACATAACCAGGTACTTGTTCAGCTTCAAAGATTTAATGGGATCTGGTGTCTTTAGGCTATGACTCAGTGCTAAATGCCATTGAAAATTATTTCCTTCTCAAGAGTAAATACATCCCTTCAGTTGACCTTCATATATTTTGGAATGCATTTCTGACATATCTGTATCTGGTAATGTGAGGGTTGAGGCAATAGAATCATAGAATCAGTGAGTTGGAAGAGACTTCATGGGCCATCCAGTCCAACCCCCTGCCAAGAACCAGGAAAATCACATTCAAGGCACCCCCAACAGCTGGCCATGCGGCCTCTGTTTAAAAGCCTCCAAAGAAGGAGCCTCCACCACAGTCCAGAGCAGAGAGTTCCACTGTTGAAGAGCTCTCACAGTTAGGAATTCTTCCTAATGTTCGGGTGGAATCTCCTTTCCTGTAGTTTGAAGCTATTGTTCTGCGTCCTAGTCTCCAGTGCAGCAGAAAACAAGCCTTTCCCTCCTCCCTATGACTTTCCCTCACATATTTATACATGGCCATCATGTTTCCTCTCAGCCTTCTCTTCTGCAGGCTAAACAGAAGGGCTTGTTTTCCAGATCTTTGATTAGTTGCTCTCCTCTGGACACATTCCAGAATAGTGGGATTCCTTTTCCAAATCCCAGTTTATATATGTGAATAAAGCCTAGCAAACATACCTGGTTTGTGAAAGTGAGTGCATGCATACATCTGTTTGTATTCACTATGTGAAATTAGTTTCAGCCTCACCAATTCTGGGAAACATCATAGTGAGGCTCTTCTGCTTGCTGGTATTTTGTCCAGCACACCACAGGGAATGTTGTGCTGGACAAAATACCATGAAACAGAAATTGACCTGGACTTTTAAGTCCCAAGTCCCATGAGAAACCTGTATGTTCCATGGCTGTAGACAAGGGCTGGGACTCATGTTCTCCTCCTGATGTTGCTTGATTGAAATTCCCATCAGCCCTATCCATGAGGAATTTGGTGAAATGTAGTTCAGCATGATTTTTCCTAACAATACCGTATTCACCAAAACTTTGACTCCAAATGTGTGAATGCCTCATTTATTTGCTTCTTTGAACTTTACCTAGTCAAAGTGCATGGAGAACAGGTCAAGTGGGCCAAAAGAACTAGAACAAATGTTTCAGCTCTTCTTCTCCAAGGTGGTGCTTAGAGAGAGGGAGGGAAAGCAAAATGGCAACTTGTTTTGTAAAACGAAGCTATCTTCACCACACACCTGACCATGAGAAAAAAGAATATACCCAATAGAAACATGCACCATTGTGGAGCTACCACTACAAGAAGAGCTGCACTATATAAATCACGTATCCAGAGTAGGCAATCCTGGCAACATGTCCACTGGAGCTGTCTCAAGGTTTTAGCAGGTTTACATGATTAAAAGCTAATGTTGTTCTGGTTTGTTAGCAATTTTAAAACATCAATACAAGCAGTTTAAATGGGATTCAGGAATTGATTGAGAATCAATACAACTAGTCTATTTACATTCCTTCACACTTATCAGCATCCAGGCAGCAGCCTTTTGCATCAGCTGCAGGTTCTGGACTACCTTTAAGGGCACTTCCACATAGATAATGGGTCTCTATTTGAGTCATTGGAATATCAATTTACATCCATTTACATTTGCAGCCATGGCTGGCAAAATACTCCCTAAACTACTTTTGCTATCTACACATCCAGAGAGAACATCAGGTCCAGGAGCACTTGCAGATTGGTATTTTTGCTTCCTTCCTGTACAGCCCCATAAATGGCAGAATCCCCAACAGTTCCATCTTGTCTGAATTTCGTTTTAGACTATTGACCCAGAAAAGACTCTGAACACCAGTTTACCAAGCAGACTCCCAAACTATTAAATTTTAAGTAAGGTTGCAGTAGTTTCAGTTGGGAGCAAGATAATTTCTAAACTCCTTTTCAAGTTCACAACAGTTTATCTCTCTCTCCATTTTTTTTCCTCTCCTCTTTCTCTTTTTTTGGCAAAAGAACTCAAGAGTCTTACTAGTTACATTCAAATTGCAGCCATGCTACTTTTGTTCCCCTGCCAAGGTTCATGCCCAATCCTTATTCAGTGAATATAAGAATGGTATAGTTAAAGTATGACGTCAGTGGCATTCTGTTTGCAGCCAGTGATACAGAAATCTGCAAGATATTGTGAGACATTTCTTCTCCTCTCCCACACACACAAAATGAATTAGCTATGCTGGAACTTGTGTCTCACACATGCCTCCTTATGTGGAAGTGATTCGTCATTGGTGACTGAGCAAATTTCAGAAAAACTGAGAAAAATTGCCATTTGTAAATGAAAATGGGTCTTTGCAGCCTGAATTCTGCTCTGGGCTCTCATGTTCTTTTTCTCCCTTCTGTTACAGGAGCCGGAGTCACTGTGGGGAGCGGTGCCCAGGGTAGCCAGCCATGATCGCCACTGGAGGCCTCTTGCGGATCTCAGCCAGAAAACAGGATCCCCTGAGGCCTCAGAGCGACGTCCCCAAACGCAAGCGCAAAGCCAAAAAGAAACGCAAGAACGATGTGGTGGTGGTGAAGGGAAAGCTCAAGCTCTGCTCCATCTCAGGCCTCATTGCTCTCTGCGGCATCCTAGTATTGCTTGTGGGAATTGCCTTGGCAGTCATGGGCTACTGGCCAAAGCCATTTTACCGGGCAGGGAGGCTTGGGGACAGGCACCATTCACCACATGGGAGTGCCATCATAAGCCATTCCAGGAACCAAACAGAAGGCCAAGCAGACTTTCCTTTGGAAGAGTTGGGGACCAATTCCTCTTTTATGAACAGTAAGAAGAGTCTGCTCCCTTCCTCGCCAGCCCCTTCACCCACTTCAAAAAGCTTCCTGATTGAGCTTTTCTCACAATGTCTGCATTCTGACAAACTAAAGGTGCTTGGTCCCCTCATCATGGGCATTGGCATCTTCCTCTTCATTTGTGCCAATGCAGTGCTCCATGAGAACCGTGACAAGAAGACCAAAATTATCAATCTGAGGGACTTGTACTCCACCGTCATAGATGCACACAGCCTTCGGACCAAGGATGGGCCGCCTTCTGCTTCTGTGGCCCCAGTTCCCATTAATGGCTTTGTTAACTATGTACAGCCAAGAGGCCTGGAGTTGAAACCTGGTAGCAGTTCTGGGGAAACTTTAACAAAGACCGCCTGGCACTCAGTGGTAAGTGCTCCCCTCTCTCCTCCAGACTTGGCTTCATCCCCGCGCCGCTGCTCCTCCTCCTCTCCTCAACAACAGCAGCAACACCCACCCCCCAGCTTGGCTGAGGCTGTATACAGTATCTATCGGGAGAGAGCAGCCTTGGCTAGGACTACTGGTAGTTCACCTTGTAGCCCCCCAAATGGCTGGGACCAACATAGCACTGCCAGTTCCATTGTGGGTTCCTCGCTCAGCACTTTTACTTTGCTGCCTCTGGCTCAAGGAGAAGTGGCAGAGCGAGACCGCGGTGGCTGGCGAAGGCCCCTGGGAGAACGAGGGGCCAGGGAAATCCCTCGAGGGGAGTTTGAGCTCAGCCTGACGGATCTCAGGAGCAGCTATATAGACTCAGAGCGAGGGCATATAGTGGTACCCAGGATGGGCAAGAGGAAGCCTGTTCTCCGACGCCAAAGCACAAGTTGCCTCCCTGATGCCAGGAGATCCCTCACCCCTGAACCCTCTCAGACTTTGGATAGTAGCACAGACCTAGACTCCAGCCTTTTAGTTAAAGATTCATCTTCCAAATCCCTTGATCTGGGAGACTCTCCCCCTCTGACGCCAGCGGCAGCTAGGAAAGATTCCCAGGGCTCTCAGTGTGATCAGTACCGAAGCAATAAGGGCTACACCCCACTGGAGGAGACGGGCACTTCTTTGGAATCTGTTGCCAATACGCCGGCCCATAAAATCCAGGACTGCAAAGGAAACTCCAGTGGGTACACAGCTTCCTCAAAGGATACCAGCAGAGAACAAACAGATAAACGCCCTTTGAGAATTCAGAGGCAGTATACAAATAAAGAGAAACTTTTCATGATCTCCAGGTCAGACACCACTGTCGGGCTGGAGGAAGTAGACCTGGAAAACACTGAAGTTTCAGTCAAGTAAACTAAAATGGAGATAAGCATCAGAACAACTTGTAATCCTTCTGCCCCCTTGTGGATCTAGGAAACCAGTCAATATCCAAAGCGCTGAAGTGTGTTATCCTTTTGAATTGCATCAATAAATTCCTGAAGAAGTCTTCAGGAAAAAATGAAAACTCAAAGCAGGAGTTTGTTCTGTTCAGCTGTCAGTCTGTATTCCATGCAAGCCGAATTGTATTTCATACTGACAGTCCAGTAAATTCTTTGGATCAAAGGAAAGAGAACATGTTGACAATAATTGTGCACTTTACTGATTTTTTTATATCCTGGTTGCCCCTTTCTCTCTCTCTCTCTTTCTCTCTCTCTGTGTCTGTGTGTGTCTTGGCTTTTGCCATGGCATGAACTGCACCCTCATTCCCAGGCTTCAGACAGAAATGGATTTCAAGTCAGGAAGATTGATCTCTTTTGTAATGTTTGGCTAGATCAGAGTACCATTTTGCAGAGATTAACAGATGAAGTATTGTGACAAAAGATGAGGGGGAAATTCAGAGCTTTAATTTCTGAAGTGTCAGGAAGAAAGATGGGAGATGGATAGCACTGTGGCCAACTTGCTGAAGTTCCTACATTCCTAAATTCAAATAATGAATACTTTCTTAAGTATGATTGCACATGTATAAACTAAGAGCATTAATAGCAATTTTTAATTAAATAAAATATGTTTACAATAACAATGTATATTTAGGTAATGTTTCATTTCCTGCTAAATTCTTATAAATGACATAAATCTTGTTTTCAATGACTGTCTCCAAAGGGTTTTCCCCATTTAGGCAGAAACATTAATTACATGGGTTGAAATCAGGGCAGTAACCATCAAAGATTTCTTATAATATAGAAAACTAAAGTAAGCTAATCTTACTTATCTGCTCATAAGCAAGTCCTGCTGATATTGGTGGGCTTTATTCTCAGGTAAGTGAGCATGAAATTGAGGCCATAGTTAAATTTAGAAGAAATAAAAGAAAGAAATGATCATGAGATACATTTAAACAGGGGGGAAAGTTACATTTGTGTAAAATTCTAATGAAAGAAATGAAACAATCCTGTGCATGCTTACTTCCAAAGTAAAGGCAGAACAAGACATGTTAATTGTGTAAATACAATTAATGAATTCTTTAATTTTAAAAAATGTAAATAGCAGCAGCAACAGCATCTGGAACACAGAGGTGGAAAGATCATGTTTAACCCTTCTCTCTATTCCATGGATCCAGTAAAAATATTGCCACCAGTAGTTGCTATTTGCATCAGTTGATAGGATCTTTCTCTCTCCCCCTGTTTCTTGCAGTCCTGATGCTGCTCAGGGACCCTGACTTATTCTTCAAAATGCACATTGGTGCATTAAAACAATTACATTTGGCCTAAGGTACATTGTTGAATGGGGCATCCTTTAGATTACAGACTCTAAAGATGTTTGAATCAGATTTTAATGTGAGCATTGTATTTGCTTCTAAACAAGACTATTTTGAAATCTACTGAAGGAAATATGCAGATACTTGTAGGTACTTGCATACTTGTAGGTACTTGATTTGTAGGTACTTGCATACAAGTTGCACAAGATTGCCTAGTTCAATCCTGATATAGCATTAATTGAGGGTGTTTTTTTTACTATCACTTTAATCCATTTCATCCACTCATATATTCATGAAATCAAAGGAAAGGCTTGAGAAGTCTGATTTGTATCAAGCTTCCAGTTGTTGTCAATAACAATTTGCCCCATTATTGCACTGAGTTTACAAGAAATATTAGTAATGAGGCAAACTTGTATAATGATTTTGGTTTATTAGAAATTACTGTGGTGCTTAGTCCTGATTTCCATAGGCTTATTCATCCCTTACTACTTTACTCAGTGATACATTTGATGGCTGTCACCTGACTATGTGCAATACTGTCATTGGAAAGCAATACATCTAATGTTATATTTGGCAATTTGGAAGTAATATCTTTGGTATTTGGTTCTTAATGACCACTTTGGACATGCCAGACATTTCTTGATATCACAGTCTGAATGATAGATGTGTATGCATAAAATCAACCTTAGCTGATGCCACTGTTATGGTGCTAAACAATGCAGCAAAAGATATACAGCTTGACTGTAACAAGTCAATAATCCACGCTGTCATATTTTCAAAGTACTTAGAACAAGAAAGAAAAATATTTTGTCCTCCAGATATTTTGGGCTAGAATTTCTATCAGCACACCAAGAATGGTCCATGATAAGTGATTGTAGTCCCGGACATCTGGCAGATCAACCATTTCACCTCATTTAAATTTAAGCTTTGTTAAAATGATTGAAATCAGGGTGTTTAAACTAGATGTATGCATAGTCAACTCATGCCAGTCTATATACAGGATTGGATTAAATTCAGGTGCTTACTATTAATGTAACTAACTATGAATTGGGGGATCACACACTATGTGTTTTGGCTTTATAGCTGGATTTTAAAACATTGCCATTTAAACTTATAAAAGTTACAAGCAATAATGTGTGAATTGAAAAAAATCATTGATGTTCTAGAACTGAACATTAACAAATTAATTTGAGATCTTTTCTTTTAGTAATTTTTTTCATAACCTGCATTTTTAACTACTGAAGAATATGAGAATTAAGGAAAGTTCTGAGACAACTGGAGCCCACTGTGTTCTGTATGAGTCAGCACCACATGGTAGTATTAATATGGGAAAGAACTTGCTTTGATTATGAAAAGGATTTCTGTGCTTGTCTCAGCCATCACCAAAGATATGCAGGTGACTGGCATGATACATTAATTGCTTTTGCATGCTATGGTAGCCCTATGGAGCTGTCAGTATACAGAAGCATTTCTAGCAGCTTCAATCCATGACTGTAACCTGAGAACTGGCCCTCAACTGAATAGCTTCTATGACTAGAAGTTGATAAAAAAATAAATAATCTCAGCAATAGTATGCTAAGTTGTTGTTTCTGAGGTTTTGCTTCATGGGGAGCCCCTTTCTCTGACAAGGATAGACCAATCAAACCTCATTTCATTTGAGCATATGGACAATTACTTTCAATGAAATTTACATCCATGTAAGTTCTATGTAAGTTCTGTGTAATAACATTACAAATCAGTCAGTGTCAACACAACAAGATGATTTACTACTATTTCAAGGCATGGTTAACCCATGGTTCTAAATGGTTCTAAAGTACTTACAAAACTAGGGGGCGCTGGTGCTTTGCTTCTACAGTGTTGCTAAAGTTCTGGTGGTGAAAATGTCAAAACTCTAACAAAACTTTCAAACTTTCATTTTTTTGTTATTGGTGATTTTTTATGACAGCACCAATTAGGAACTGCCAATTATAATGAAATTTTGAACGTTTTGTTAGAGTTCTGAAATTTTCACCACCAGAACTTTAGCTACAGTGTAGAAGCAAAGCGCACACCCCCAGTAGAACCATGGATTGCCTATGCCTATTAGCTATCATTGCAATGAAATCAAGCAATGCTATGACATGTAATGAGAAACATAGTTGACTGAGCTATGACTATGGATGCCCTCATTTGTCAAGGCCACCTCTGTAGTCTTCATCCTTTGCCCACTTCAGCATTCATTGGTAACTACCTTCCAGGTTCCTTTTTACAGGACATTCCCTTGGCTTATTTTATTTAAGTCTTAGAAGTTTTGTGTCTTATGTTTCATATCGTGTTCACTGTTGTCATTAAATATAGCAAAGTTGGGAATTGAGGAGTGCCCCTTCCCCCACCTGAAGCAGTAGCCAGCATATCCAATGGTGAAGTATGATAGCAGTTGTGTTTCATCAATCTATGAAGGGCTACATAAGTTCTATTCATGGATTAAAAGAGGTCTTATTGCATACATTTAAAATGTGCACCCTCATGCACACTTTTACCTGCTACTCAGTAATGTTGACATTCCAGAATGCAACTGTTCAATCCACATAAAAATTCCACAAGAGTAGAGTCTTCACCCTTTCCTATCTATGACTCATATGAGAGCATTTCAATTGAAGAGACTTCTGTAGCAGTCTCTTCAATTCAATGGAGACCAAAACAGAAGTTTAAGCAACCTACATTCAACCAAACTATGATTCTGGTCTAAATCCTAAGGTTCTGAGATACTGCAGCATGTTATGGTCTACTTAATATCAGCATCCATGTCTTAAGTAAGTACCTGTTTTGAAGGAGAAGGAGGGAGAGTTTTATGGGTTCTAGTTAATATTCTTAGCTCTTTGAAGTAGAATGAGAGTCCGAACAAAATTTTAAACAAATATGAAAGCATCATGTAGCCAATGAATAAATATTTTAATTCTGACATTACATCCTTTAGACCAGTGATTTTCAAATGTGTGCTGTTTTGCACAAATTTCAAATGCTTCAGCCGGATTGACTCGCAGGAATTCTGGGAGCTGAAGCCCAAAACACCTGGAGGACCAAAGTTTGGGATCCATTACTTTAGACTAAGCCTGCACAACCTGTGATCCCCCAGGTGCTTGGGACTCCCAACTATCAAAAGCCCTAGCCAATGGTTAGTAATTCTGGGAACTAAAATCCAAAACACCCAAAGGGCCACATGTTTGCAAGTCTGTTTTAGACCTGTTTTAGACCTTTCATTGCAAATACAGACAATTCTGTGTTGATGTCACTGTGAATAGTTTGATTCCCTCCCCTCCTACTGACCCCACCAAACATACTTTCAGTATTTCAGTAACTGCATAGACAGTGAGCAATCTGAATAACTAAGAAAAAAATCCATTAACATTATATTTAAATTTCACGAGGCCCATGCATTGCTCTCACTGTTTTTAAAATGCAAACATAAATAACATCAGTGCTACTGGTGCTTGACTGAGAATTGGATTCAGCAAATTCATTTTCCAGGGGAGAATAATATGACAGAGAAAACTCATTATAGTCTGAGCTCAATAGCACAATACAGAGTCTATCCACCTAATAATATAATTGAGAACATTGAGAGCTGAAAGCCTTTTCTTCCACTCTTCCCTTTTGTTCCCTTGAACCTTGCCTAGTGATTACAGCAATATGATTCTTCAAGCCTTCAATTCCCCTCTACTGCCCATTCTCCTGAACATCTCAGCATCCCAGGTGCAGAGAACGCTGGGAAATATTCACCCAGCCAATCTGATTTTTAAGAGCCCTTCTACACAGCCATATAACCCAGAATATCATGACGAATAACCCACAATATCTGCTTTGAATTGGAATATCTGAGTCCACAATGCCATATATTCCAGTTCAAAGCAGAAAATGTGGGATTTTTGTCATCTTTGTGGAAGGGGCTTAAGTAAGGATGCCATGGGAACCTCTTCACCTGAAAGATAAGTGAGAAGGTAATGATGGTTTCCCTGGGAACTTCCATCAAGACATCCTTTAATTGTGCACAGTGAACCTGATGTAGCATGATTTGTGTAAGAAACATAGAAGTAGCAAGATTTGGACCTCAAGCACTGCTCATATCTCAAGCATTGCAGCCAGATGAGCTATCCAGGACCCACTGAAAGACCTCAGAGGATGAAGAAGCCATCAGAGGATATTTTTGCTTGGAATTCCTGAAATCATGCCTGAGATCCTGTACCAAAGAAATGCAGAGTAAATTTCTGCTCGGCAGAAATCTGCTCGGCAGATCATAGCTCCTTATCCCCCCTCCCTGAAAGCCCATTTTTTTTATTCTGGTCTTCCAACACAGCCATATAGCAACTGGAGAGCAAGGAGTGACTGTTAAGGGGAAAGCAATTTAGAATTTTCAGCCAGAGAGCTCCAATAACCAATTAAACCACAATAGAACATTGTCATAGCAGTTAAAATAAAATCATAACACTCTAATTGTGTAATGTGAGAGGGCCCACGATCTCCAGAGGATCAGGAGGTCCTAGAGCAGTATTTCTCAACCTGTGGGTCCCCCAGTGTTTTGGCCTACAACTCCCAGAAATCCCAGCCAGTCTACCAGCTGTTAGGATTTATGGGAGTTGAAGGCCAAAATATCTGGAGACCCACAGGTTGAAAACAATTTTCCTAGAGGATGATATCACCTTTGTGTGTCTGGTTATAGACACATAGCTTGATGTGTCTCGGCTGACTTCTTTTCTCCAGTAAGCACTATGTGCTTGTGTCAGGGGAGAAATATGGAAAACATAGTTTTTCAAGGGGTTTGGGTTATTTCACAATGAAAACAGAATATTCTTATTTTAAATATATCTTTATTGAGAATACAACTTGCTCCTCAGGAGTAGGAGCTTAAAAAGAAAAACTGTTACACATCCTATTTTTCCATTGTTTTACATAAAAAGAGTGGGAACAATTCATTAAGGAAAGTCAGAAAGGAAATAGAAAAAGAGAAAGGGGGAAAAAGGGGGGGGGAAGTAAGAGCAAACTTCCAGGTCTCCCCAAGTTGAAAATCTTCTCACTTAATAATGATCTGATTATTGTTATTTTTTTATCTCCAGTTTCTTATTGATATTTCCTTTGAGTTTCTTTTATAATTCACTAATATAGATTTCCTTATTTTCCTTTTTAATGAAATCTATAAATTCTGACTTTTGAAACAACCCAAAGGAGAGCCATACACAGTTATAAGTTTGATTTAGCCTGCTAATGTCACAGCTTTTGTCTCAGTCTTGAGATTTTGATATTGTTCTTCAAGTTATTTCTAACTAAAGGCAACCTCAAAGTGAACCTTATTCAGAGGGCCTTTGTTGTCCTTTGAGGTTGGGAGACTGTGATTTGTTCAAAGACACCCAATGGGTTTCCATGGCTAATCAAGGATTTGGATCCTAGGGTCCTTCGACACAGCCATATAACCCAGACTATCAAGGAAGAAAATCCCACAATATCTGAGTTTTCTGAGTCCACACTGCCATATATTCCAGTTCAAAGCAGAAAATGTGGGATTTTATTCAGCTGTGTGGTAGGGGCCCTGGTCTCCAAAGTATATTTCAGAAGTACTACAACACTCTGAAGTCTTGTTCAGTCTAAATACATCCTTGAAAACGAGAAGTTGCACCCACCCTTGACAGTTCTATTTCCTCTAGGCCAGTGTTTCCCAACCTTTGGGACTCCAGGTCTTTTGGACTTCAACTCCCAGAAATCCCAGCCATCTTACCAACTGTTAGGATTTGTCCTAGACTCTTGGAAAATATGTCTGCGTGGAGAGGGAAATGAAGTGTCTCATTTGTCTATCTTAGGCAATCTGTAGCATTGGCCTAATGATGTTGAGGCATAGCTTTGAAAATTTACATATTCTAAGTTTTGAAATAAATATTCAAATTATCTTATGTTTATCTTTCCAAGACAGAACACACATATAAAAAACGGAACACTGGAACAAGGCAGAACGGTGCTTTGTCACATTATATATCACATATCTACAGAAAGTGTCACCGACAAAGTGATTTCGTTCAGGCAGTCTGTGGTGCTGTGTTTCAATGAAGAGACACAAAGCCACAATTTGCACTCATTAGCGCACTAACCAATATGCTTGGGACAGTTTCATTTTCACCCTTTTCAGGCTATTTGCTCTGGAGGGACTTTGCTTCCACGCAGAACTGTGGCATTTAGAGATTGCACTGGCTGTCCTGAAGGGAGTTAGTGGGCAGATGGTCCAGTTCTGAAGCAGGGAGTAATATTGCATAATGGCCATCTGGCCCCTTACAGTTCTTTTTATGAGGCTATGAAGTGAATTGCTCAAGAAACAAAGCTTGATGGCCTGGAACCGAAAGTTGCAGTGTCAACACATTCATTCTCAGAACAGTGCCTGCTGAACTGCAAAGTCACAAATAATGCCACAATAGCAAAGCAAGAATGTTAAGATGGATACAAAATGTAGTGCTACAACATAAATCTTTACCCATGTGCCCAAAATATTTTTGTTTATTTGTTTTACACTATCTGAGTCATATTATTCTTTAGAACTGGCTAGATAAGGATACA